TGGTTTTGATTCCGCTATGTTCCTCTGCAGAGAAGATTTCTCCTTATCTTGCAGGCAAGACAAACCGTGTTAAGCTTAAGGCAAAGGACTACGGTCCGGCATTCAGCTGTATGTAAAAACAAAGGCGAGCTTTTTTCTGTTTCAAGTCCTTTTTTCTTGACACACAATGAAGTCAGAAGGAATGTGGCAAGGGACTGCGTAGGAAAAATCAAGCACCAGTCGGGATGCTATATAGCAGCAAGAAAGCATCACCGGGTATTCCAAGCAGAGGTTTATGATAGATCTGGGACAGAGCTACCTACCCGTGAAAGGACTCAACAGGGATGATTGCCTTTAGACGTCAGCACTGTCCAACCAGGCACCTCGTACACAAGCAACCTTCGCAAGAAGCTTAATTTCAGCAGATTTTTTTTATGACCTGAATATTGAAATTTAACAGTTTTCGGGTTTATAGGATTTTGGGTTTAGTGAGGCTTCGGGGGCTCTTTAAAGCCACGGTTTAGGGGCCTATAGGGTTTAGAGATGTTGCGTTTAAGATCTCAAAGGCTTAAGGGGTTCAGGGTTTAGTTTAGGGCGTTTAAGGCTTAAGACCTGACAGACTTAGGGGCTTATAGGGTTCATGTATGTGCGCCTTAGAACCTGAATGACTTAAGAGTTTGAGGGCTGGGGGGCTTAAGACACAGAGGTTTGGGGTTTGGAGCTATGCCTTTCGGCGGTTTAGGGTTTAGGTGTTGGAGCGCACGTTCTTGAGAGGCTTTTGATTTTATATTCTGTAGGCCTTAAGGGATGCTATAGGCTTTGGGGCTAGGGCATCGGGATTTGGTTACGAAAATGTCTTGTTTAAGTTGAAAAAGGGGGAGAAAAGAATGGCACGAGGTTTTATTGAAACAGGATCTTACAGTTTCGGTTATAAAAGACAAAATATGGCCCGATAATGAGAAAGGCTAGATACAGCGATGAAACTCATGGTCAAACGGATGTTGCAGTTTGGTGGTTGTGGCAAAAAGGCCTCCTCGGCAGAAAAGCTGCATTCGAGGGAACAGGTAAATACCTGGCTCAGACCCACAACTCTAAAACCTCTGGACACCAAGAAGGGAACCCTCACATCCCAATGCAGGGGCCGTTTTAATTATATACAAGGTTTTGGTGTATCTATACTGAATCTAAACCCCTAGCAAAACTTATAGTCTTAGCTGTTTCTTAGGGATTATAGGAACCAAACATGAATTCTATCTACCCCTCCACGAAGGTATGTTGGACTATTCCCAAAGGAATCCTAGGTACCATTATGGAGTATACTTTCTCAAATCACAATAGCAATTAAGATTACTATTATAGAAACCCTACAGTCTACTATATAAGTACTTTGGACCCTGTGGGATTGTTGAATAAGGACTTATGCGGCCAACATTCAGAGCCCTGCGTTGCCGATCGTGTCAAAACATCATAGGGATCTTTGGGGGGGGGGGAGTAGGGGGGAGGGGGTAGGGGACTATACTTCCTTAAATAAGCCTTCTTAGGTCATAGGGGCCCTGAATTAGGGGGTTAGGGGGGAGGGGGGTAGGGAACTCTGCCTCCCTAAATGAGCCTTTTTAAGTCCTTCTTACAGGCAGGAAGGCCCCCTCCCCCCTTACCCCCCACCCCCCGAAGGGTCCTTATGAAAACACGAGGTCCGGCCTTGTTCCCCTTTTCCTTCAACTCCAGCACCACCTTCCCAGAACCGCTGAGTAGGAATTCATTCCGCACAGTATGGTAAGCTCCGGGATAGGGTCAGGGTTTAGGGTTCTTTTTTTTTTTGAGGGCCCTTTTCCTCCCTGCTACAGTCGGAATACCAAGTAGGTAGAGCCTTGACGAGGACCCACGACCGGTTCAGGGTTTAGGGTTTACATAGGGTTGGGGGATTCCGTATCTGAGGGATATTGGAGCCTCTGCCTTTGTGCCCGATGCCTCAAATGCAGCCCGACGGCGCAAGTTTCCGGCCTGTAGCAATGCTGATATACATGCTTACAGTTCAACATTACAAAGCCTGCAACACCATCAGTTAGACCAACCCTGATACCCAAACAATACTCCAGAAGCGATTATATAAGCCTTCAACAACGGGCCTGAGGTGTCAGTGTAGGTTATGTGGGAACCACTACTTCGGCTTTAGACTTTCTTGGTAGTCTTGTGGTTTCGGATGACGTGGTGCTGGCTAAGTGTTCCGGATGCTGGTAGAAACCCTGCTGGCCTAAATTGGCAAGGGCTTTACGGTTTACCTATAGTCTGCTTTGTAGTTCATTTTTCTGGCTTGACCAATCTTCATACTATAGTAACCCAAAAAATGGCCTCCTACGGAGTCCACTACTCTTGAAAGGGTTTAGGGTTTAGGGGTTTAGGGTTTATAAGGGTTTAGGGCAGGGTTTAGGTCGTTCCCTTAAGCTGCGGAGGCTCTTAGTGTGACTTGAGGTGTATTCGTCAGAGATGGACTACGGGGCGCTGAACCAAAATCAGAAAGCAACAGCTTCTCGGACGCGAAAGACGCTCATACTGCTCAAGATGAAAATAAATCCTACCTAAACCCATCAACCTCGCACCCCCAAGCTCCCACACCCTGCGAGAAACTGATGGGAGGCCAAAAGGGGGGTTTAAGATTCTTGGGGTAGGGATTCCTTAATATGAACCCTACTATGGGAACCCTAATCCCTGCTAAGCCCCCATACGCTAGAACCCCTTTTGGCCTCCTATGAGCTATTCTCGGAAACCCTAAACCCTAAACTCTAAACCGTGCTGCTGATATGTTGATGAAGCGATGGTATACCCAACGCCGCGAAAAGGATTCCGATCCTGCACCCTCTGGTGGCTGGAGAGCGGTGCAGGGGCAGATACCATGGCGACTCAGGCAACCGAACTCGTTTGGGCTTGCTTGGGGGAACCCGCGACTGGCAGGATTTTGGGTGTAAGGGTGTGGGTTTCATGGTTTTGGGCTTGGAGTGTAGAGCTCAGGAACTCCCTCAAATAGCAGACACCGTCGGGTCTATGCTTGTTTGCAACCGCTTATGAAACACCATTCCTCTGCATGATACTATTGTAAGCGCCTTTAAACATCGGGGGAGATATCGGATTCTGGTTCGGGAATATATTGTAGTCCCTAGGGCCCCAAGGCGCCAGTAGCTCATCAAGGTCCACTGTTGAGCTTTGGACTTGAGCTGCTTTGAAGGCATCCCTGCCCGATCTGCTCAGGACGGCAGTTTGTTCGGAGTTCCTTCACTTGCTGTCATGCACTGCCCTAAACCTAGACCCAAAACCCTTGCTTGAGAAGGAGAGGCTTGGACGCAGTGAGTTCGGGGCTGCAGTTGCTAGGTTTTCTGCAAGGTTTCGGGTGTAGGGCCGTTTAGGGTTGCAATGCTTGAGTCATAAACCCTCAAACCCTCAGAGCTATCTCTTGCCTTCCATGTGAAGATTTAGGGATTGAGAGATTGGGACTCGGGGTGTCCATGAAAATGAAAGGTATGGTGCAAAGACAAGGGCAAAACCGAAGTAAGATCAACCATGTGGGTGGTTGTCAAAATTATGGTCCCTTTGGGGGTCCCGATTATAATACGGCACCTAGTATTTAGGGTACCCAAAAAGGGACCCAAATTTTGACAACTACCTATGGATTCGCTGATGCAGTCCTAGGAGGAGTCTCGGATCTCGCGGAAGATGCATAGCTACGACGTCCAATTTGGGGTTTAGGGTTCACCGAAACCATAACACCCAAGCTTAAACTTAAACGCTTAGAAACTAATCTACTTCGTTCCTACATCACATGAACTTCGGGTTTGTATTAAATTACCGGTCTCCCCCGTAGTAATTCCCGACCTGTAAGCCTTCAATCACCCAACCCTCATTGCTGCGTCCTTAACCCTGAACCCCGAAACCCCAAAACCCAAAACCAGCTAAACATTATCTAGGATGCCCAGTAACCTAGGAATTAAAAAGGGCTCCTTTTTTTGTATTGGGTATTATAAGGAACCTAGGACTACAAAGAGGGAATGAGGGTACTACTGGGCATCCTTGTTATTGCATGGGACCGTTTTCTTCACACCTCGACGACCTGCTGGCCCCACGTTCCTCTTCGACTTCGTCCTTCAGTGTCTGAGAGGCGGTCGGGTGCTGCGAAACTCCGTGGCATGAGTAGGTCAGGGATTAGGAAGTCCGCCAAACAGGCTGATCAGAAGTGAGGTGCATAGTTTATCACGCAGACATGGGGCACTTTGCCATCAGTTGGCACGTTGCACGAGACGTGACAGCAGCAGGCAGATCACGACCATCTTCCTCTTCATCACTACCATCGGCGTCATCAACACGATTAAGCACTGTCAGCAGCAGCGCATCCGGAGTACTAAGACTCATGACCACCATAAACCCATGCCATTTGTACAGTCACCCCTAGTACGGGTGTGTTTGTATGCACGTGCACCAACACACAGATACACACATGCACTTATAAGCGCTACACCGAGCACCCTGAACCCTATCAACCTCGGCCCTAAACCCAAAGCCCTAAACCTTATAACCCCCCCTCAGCCCCCAAACCCTGAACCAAACCAACAAAACACACCCGGACGAGCGTCTCATCCTGTCCTCCTCGGGTCACAGTTCCCTCACCAGCGCTCCTTAAGCTGTCCAGTGGGCTCAGGGCGTAGAGTGTACTTAGGGGTACTTAGAAATAGTTTTTAATTTTGCGTTATTATAATCCCTAAGAAACAGCTAAGATTACATGTCTTGCTAGGGTTCTAAGTTCAGTATAGTGTAGGGTTTTAGGTTCAGAGGTGGCTAAGTCTTTCCGGATTTCCCAAAATGTTGTTGGGGGGCCTCATGGAGGTTAGACTAGACTTTAGACCACGTCTAGGAAGATCACCATGGATCTGGCTTCAGTGTATAGCTCATTAGGGTTTAGGGTTAGGGGTTTAAGGGTTATTCATTTAGAGTACTGTTGCACCGAAGTCGAGAGGTAGTTGCTTCCAGGCTTCTTATTATTGCCATGGGCGCTGCTGCCATGCACCGGCACGCCAGGCACTATCGCCACGATCGCCCGAGCTGCTTCCTCTCTCATTCTGTTGACTGTCGTTCTGCTGCCCTTCATGGGATTGCCAGTCGTGCCACGCATTACCATGCCAGGTGCCGGAGTCGTTTCGGCCCTCATGCTGTCTGTCCCAGCTGCTCTTGCTCTCTTCGCCAGCGTGGCTTTGCCAGGCATCCTCGGACCATGCAGCCTTTCGCCATTTGTCACGGTTTTCCTTACTTGGGAGTTTCCGAAAATTAGGGGCACCTTATTTTGCTATTTCGGGTATATACTATATTAGGGTCCCCTATTTTCGGAAACCCCCACTTGTTCATGGCTTGGGTTGAACGAGCGTTGGCCTTGGCGGGGGGGGGAAGTCGATTGCAGAAAATAAAGGTCATCCCCTGGCTCTATACACACATGTCTCTGCTTATTGTTAGGTATCTTTACTGAGTATTGCTACAGTTGTAATTTTTACTTGTATTCTTGTTCTTGTTAGCTACTGGTCTTGTTGTAATTATTGCGGTGCCCCTAAACCCTAAACCCCCAAACCTTAAAAAACTCTTACTACTTGCAGACTGAGGAGCCCCGTTCCAATTCCATTCTTCGCGCTGCCACTGCCATCGCTGACACTCCCACCAGTTGCCACCAGAGTCGCCCCCTGGCTCATCCTGTCCGTCAGCGTGGCCTGCACGGGGCCATGAGGAGAAAGCCTTCCACCCGGGGAGTTCTGAACAAAAGTCCCGCAGGCTGCTCTCTCTACTTATATGGGAGTTTCCGAAAATTAGGGGGTACCGTATTTGGGGGGTCCTTACAATAAGGATCCTACTACATACAGTGCTAGATTAGGGTCCCCAATGTCCGGAAACTCCCATCTAAGCCCTGCCAGTAGCATGTAAAGTCTCAAAATCCGAAGCTCTGAAGCCCCGAAATCTCAACTAGGAGGTGCTTTTGAAGCATTTGAAAAATGTTAGTAGGTAAGATCCTCTTAAGCCCAATAAGAGCAAATATGAGGTGCCTGTAAAGCCTTTGAAAAATGTTACTAGGTAAGATCCTCTTAAGCCCAACAAGAGGAAATATAAATGTCCCAAAGCCCTATCTACTTGGAGGATCATGGGACCTAGTAAGTAGGGTCATAAGTACCCTAATCGGGGTTATAAATAAATAAAACTATAGTTACCTTGCTTATAACCCTACTTACTAAGTCCCATGGTCCTCTACCCATTCAGTGTCAGACCCTCCCTGCCTGCATCCGGACCGCTTTCTGTTCTCGCGCCCTCCAGTGGAGCGGTGCTCGGTGACGTCTCAGCCTGCCGTTTGGCGGTTGTCAAAATTAGGGTCCCTTTTTGGGTCCCTACCTGGACGTCCCTTTGTGGTTCCTTTTTGTGGTTGGCGGCTTTTGTGTGTAGGTTCCTGGTTTCCCACATAAACCTGGTTCATGTGGTTTACTTGGTTTCTGGAAACCGGTTTTGGCTAGGTCTTGAAAATTTCGTGGTAGTCTTTGGTTTCCGGAAACATGGTTTCCTGCTGTCCTGAGGTTTCAAGTACAAAAGAGTCTGGATGCGCTCTCCTGCATGCAAACGTGGTTTCGCTCATCTGGAGTTGCTCGCCGTTTCCTCTCTCAGATTGTATGGAATGTATCATGCATGTATACAGACAGTCCTCTGTTTTGTATATGCATTGGATATATATATATATATATATATATATCTATAAATATATGTGTATACATGCATGCAAGCATGCATGTATACACATATAACTGATATACATACTGTTGGCCTTTATAAATATAGACAGCTATATTATATATACATAGCTTTTATCTTCGGTATTCCTGCAAAATGACGGAGAATTCCGGGACCTATTTAGGTTATATGAATTATATAGCTACTTATTGTGCAAACCTTTGCAGTATTCCAAAAGTTCCGGCATCCTCCGTTGCATGTGTAAATGAAGGTGCATTTATATGTTATATGTGTATCTATATATATATATATATATATATATATGTATGTATATGTATATATATATATATATGTATATATGTATATATTATGTATATCTATAGGTTGATGCCTATCTCTACACGAACTACATTACTGTCATGTCACGGCCCTTCATGTGCATCCCTTCTCGCTGGCACAACTCCGCCGGGGCCTAAATTGTCACAGAGAGCACAGGCTGCTGCTGAATAGAAGATGTGGTATCATGTTATATTCTGCATTGCTTGAGATCAGCTGAATGTTTTGCCCTGCACCTCCGATTCTGCAGGGTTATCGGCTTTGTTTTGGAGTTGTCTGTGGTGTATAGTACGCCATGGATGTCGTTGTAGCTCCTCCCGCTGCTCCGCATGCTGTTGCTCCCCGTGACCCCGTAGCTGAAAGAGAAGATCTGCAGCTCCTCGAAGACCTCATGAATGAAGTTTGTGAGGTGCTGCTATAAGTAGTTCTGGCCTCATGCCGTCATTGATGTGTGATGCTCATCCGTCCGATGAAAACCCTTCAGGACTGGGATAAAAACGAGGAGTTGAAGGCCAGGGTCATGGCCCAGAAGCGATTTTTTCTGTGGCCGGGGGACGAGAAGGGGAAAAACAGAAAGATTACGGCCTTGGCGGTGAAGATCAACAAGGATCGTGTAGTTCTTTTTCAGGATTGCTTCTTGAGGTTTGCATGGCTGCTCTGCTGCAAGGATTTGCTGAAGCCAATCGTAGGGCGATGCTTGCAGCATTCGCATTTGGCTACAGTGCCAATGCTGGAGAAAATGCTGGAGCACCAAACTGGTGAATGGGAGGTTCTTCTGCATTATATGAGTGTTGTGCATGAAAACTTGTCTGAAGTATAATACAATGGCTTGAGGTGCCGGGAATGCCTGCTGGAACGTTCAACAAGGATGCCCGCAACATGAAGACGGCAGTGACCTGTCATCGACGCTCCTGGGCGGAAAGGTTTCATGCTTCAGTCTTTCAGATGGTTGTTCATATGTGTGACGAATGTGAGGACTGGCAGATCGCTCTGATAGCCAGCGTGATGGCGACGTGCACGAGCTTACTGCAGCTTGCAGGCACCAAGATATGCATGATTGACGTATATATAGTATGCAAGTGCATAGAGTGCTCCGTGGATATAAGGCGGAGCTACGTACGAGATCCAGATGGGTTCTGGCAAAGGATTGCTCGGTCTCACACTTCCATGCGGTCGAGGAGGACTTTTCCAAGCCTCGCTTTTCGAAGAGTGTGCGAAATGCCAATGGCAAGGGCAGGGGCAAGGGTGCCAGATCTCGGCAACCTCGAGGTGAGGCTTTGGTTGCCTTGGGGGGTGAGGCTGGCCCTGCGCCGGCTGGGCCAGCTGCTCCGACGGACGATGAGGAGACTCCAGATGAGCGAGGTGATGAGGACCATGAGGATCCCGAGGAAGAGAATGCTGCCATGGACGGTGAGGACCGAGATGAGCAAGGCGATGAGCACAATGAGGCTCCCAATGACGAGGAAGCAGGTGCTCCCTTGGAGGATGAGGTCGAGATTCTAGGTGAACCATGCGGTGGATGCCATGAGGGTCCCAATGAGTCTGAGGAGCATGACTCAGATTATGATGCTCTGCAACTGATGATTGATGAGATCGACCGACTCCCTCCGCCTGTGCTTATTGAAGACTCCCCAATGCCTGGGAAACATGATCCAACTGAAGGTCCCTATAATCGAAGAGATGAGTGCATGTGCTGTGCCTTGAAATATCCTTGTTGGGCATGATGTATAGCCGAGGTTCCAATGGCTGTGTGGAAAGTTGCGAGGATATGCGCGGGCAGCTCCGCGAACTGTTGCGAAGGCAGAATGCCAGGCTGTCACCCTAGACGGTCCTTGCGACATGTGCATTTGGCTGTTCATGTGCTTATATGATGAAGGCTCTTTGGTGAGCACACAGATCTGCATGAGACGGTTCCCACGGAAGAGGATTGCATGTATATACATCAGTATCTGCAAAACTGGTGTTCAGTTTCTCTTTTGTTCCTATATATGTGACGATAAAAAGATGAACTGGCACAGGTTTGCAGATGCACATCTCACTTATAAACAGCTCTGGTAACGGACAGTGTTCAATCATTGATCTGAGTTATGAGGAGTTGCTGCCGGCTGCACCTGGGCCAAGCTGCATCCTTGTGGAAGAGTACCTGGTTGGTCCAATTGAGCAGATTCGGTGGGAGTTTCTTCATGTGAACACGAATTGTTGAGCTTTCCAACTTGGGTTGCACAAGAAACTTGCCATTTCTGTATGTCTGACATGATAACCCACTTGTATATATACTGACATTCATGTACACACATAGGCTTCATTCTTTGTATTTGTCTACTTGTGCTTGTGTGATTACATATGTATACTGTATGTATGTATATATGTATATATACATATAAATATATATAGTCTGTACATATGTGGATCGATACTATATATAGACACATACATGGGCATAGATAAGATGTAGTTGGTGAGATATTTCCGCAACCTTCCTATAGGTTTATCTGCATATAATTTATGTATAAATATATATATTATATGTTCATATACATGTAGCATGAGAGACAGTCAGACTCAGACACACATACAAACATGCAGATACCCACACACACACACATATCTTACTTACTTACTTACTTACTTATTTACTTACTTACTTACTTACCTATATATATATATATATATATATATATATATTCTTATTTTTACACATACTATGAACATAAGAGGTCTCTATATAGTGCCACTTCTATCACTTCCTCTCCGTCTCTCTCTTTGTCCCTATACTCTACTGTTTGCTCGGTCTATGTCTTCATATATGTCTCTACCGAACTATATAGGTATCTCTATATGTTTATGAAAGTATCGAATCATGTATGTATTCTACAACACAGACACATGCATGTGCAAACACCGTGTAATTAACCTATACAAACCATGCCACCTAAATATACTCCCATCCTTGCATGCATGCATATATACAGAAGCATGTGCCGAGGACACCCATGCCAGCAGGAAGATCCCCGACTCAGTACTACAGCCCCATGTTGATGCAGAGAGCGCTTGGCGGCGAGCCAAACGCAGCGAACACCGAGGCTGCAGCATCTAGCCCTGCTGCTGTACTGGCCGAACGCTTGAAGCCCCCTGCAGCTGAAGAGAAGCAGCATCTCTTCCATCTGCAGCCGCCGCCTCCTCTGAGAAGGTCTTTGGAAAAGACTTTCGATGAGGAGTTTCACTTGTGGAAGCAGGGTCGTTCCAAGTCCTTGCATCCGTGGACAATCAAGGGTTTCAGCCCTCAGTTGCTGAGGGAGTTGGGCGAGGTCGGTGATGACACCGCTAATCAGTGGAACAAGACTGGTCAGCTACCATCGCCTCAGCACCCCGCTGCCCTGCTCAGTCATGCTGACCAGCTGTCTTTGCGCCAGCAGAAAAGGGAGGAGACACGTGGGAGAGGCCGTGGGCGTGGCCGCGGCAGGAAAGGCGGCCGCGGCAAAGGTGGCAGTTCCAAACAGTCCGGCAGTGGAGACGACGAGCCGGTGGTAACCCCGCATCATGTTGAAACAGCTGTTCCAATGGAAAGCCCACCGGAGGTAGCTGTGCATAAGGCGAGGGCTCCCAAGGTGATGAAAAGGCCGGCAGCAAAGCAGGTGAAGGACCAGAGGTGCTCCAAGCAGCCGAAAACGGGGAACTCTGAGTCCAGCGCTGCTCGGGTCCCCGCAAGTGTGCCTGAGCCCCTTGCCGAGCTTGTGGCTGAGCCAACCGAGCTCGATCCATCCGAGCATCAGCGTGGCCCATCACAAGCTGCAAGGAATGATCTCAGGCAGTCATTTGGTTTGCATTGTATTCAGATGTGCATTGGTCTGTGTTTGAAGATACCAGTTTCTCATGTCTCACCGCATCTGAGGCGTTTCGCCAAGCATCAGCAGGACTTCAAAGTGGAGATCTATTGGACCCGCAACCAAGTCGGTGTGCGCACCAGATCTGGCAAGAGTGCCTACATGACGCAGTGCAAATCCTTTGAGGCTGGCATCCGGCTTTGTGCTGAGGTGGTTGCTCTGCACTGAACTTATCATTTGGTTCATATATGCACTTATGAGGTTTTTTTTAAGAAAAACCAGACATCTAACACCCTTTACTGGTGCATACCCTCAGCCCCATATAATCCCTATATATCTGCACCCATTAACCTTCTGAGTATTTAAACCCCTTTATAATTGTGTGTATATATATACATATTATATATATATATATATATAGACCATGTAAAAACCTACAAACCCCCAACCTTGCAATTATAC